CGTCAGCAAACTTGCTGAGGGTACATTCTAACTCTTCATCCAGGTCGTTGATGAAGAAGTTAAACAAGACTGGGCCCAGTACTGACCTCTGAGGGACACCACTAGTTACCAGCCTCCAACTGGACTCAGCGCCGCTGATGACAACCCTCTGAGTTCTGCCATTGAGCCAGTTCTCAATCCACTTCACCGACCACTCATCCAGCCCAGACTTCCTGAGCTTCCCTAGGAGGATATTATGGGAGACAGTGTTGAAAGCCTTGCTGAAGTCTAGGTAGACAACATCCACGGCTCTCCCTTCGTCTACCCAGCCAGTCATGCCATCGTAGAAAGCTATTAGATTGGTCAGGCATGATTTCCCCTTGGTGAATCCATGCTGACTACTCCTGATAACCTCCTTTTCTTCCACTTGCTTGATGATGGCCTCCAGGATAAGCTGCTCCATCACCTTTCCCGGGATGGAGGTGAGGCTGACCGGCCTGTAGTTCCCTGGGTCCTCCTTCTTGCCCTTTTTGAAGATTGGACCTGTCACTTCAGCTGTGTTCCCTTGGAAAGAATGTACCTGGGAGCAGCACAGGGAGGATTTCATCTCAGGATATTTATAAATTATGGTTGGATGTTCAAAAAATCGGATGAAAAAGCATAGTCCAGCATGCCAGTGAATTTTTTGAAAAACAATATTGATGATAATGAAAATACAACAAGCAGATTGCTTCTGAGAAAAAAAGCTTTAAAATCATCATATCTGAAGAAATATACAAGGCAATGTCTTCAGTGTCTTCACTGCAGAACTCTTCTGTGGGTGACTGCAGTCGTCTTCTGTGTACTGGTGAATCTTCTAGTTTAAAAGGAGTTTCAGGTTTGGGTTTTTTTAATCTTTTTGCTTCTGCGCTGCTACCTCCCATTCTTGGAGTCAATATTATACCTTTAGGGACAGCTGGATAGGTTTGTGCCAGAGGTGTTTGTGAAAACAGTGTTATTAGTGTCAAGTTTCTATTAACTGATTAGATAGAAGAGTTAGAGTTTATATGTCTTTCAATGACACTTTCTTCTGAAACATCATTTTAAATACAGAACACTGTTGAATGTCCCTCCCAAAAAGGTTGTTTTTCATTCCTACCTGTTGTGACTTCCCCCCCACTCCCCCTTTCTTTTTGTAAAGCAAACTTTTGTCCCCTCTGAGTCCCTTTGGTGGATTGAGGACTTCAGAGCAGACTTCAGAGCAGGGTATATTGCCTTCTTTTCGCTTCTCCTTAAGTCGGAGTGTAACAGAAAGGGACTTGTCAAGACAGACACTTGGAGTGAAAGAAGAGTATTTACTCTTTGGACAAAGGAGCTGAATGAAACCATCTTAGAAGGGCTGTGACATTCACATAATATGCCAATAACTCTTACTTTGCCACCAACATAGAATTGTAACACTTACTCGTGGAAGGAAACCAGGGAATTTGTGAAGAAGGGTAGTTTCCATGGTACATAGGTACAGTATTTTCATTGAACCTGGTTGTGTGAGCTACAGTCTAGTTTCCATAAATATGAGTCTCGAGGGTGGGCTCCTGTCACATTCTCCCATGGCTTGACCTTAGGCCACAGCCTGCACCCACCCCTACGTGGGTGGCTTCTTGGAATCATGAAAGGTTGAGGAGCTCGATGTCTGGAGCCTGCAGTCCTGTGTAAGACGGAGTAATTGGAAATCCCTGTGTTAGAAGTTGCAGGAAAAGGAGTAGGTCCAAGTCATGCAGTGTAGCTGCCTAACTCTAGCGTCTCTGGCAAAAAAATAAAAACAGTGAATTTAATTTTTTTTTTTTTTAATAGGAAAAAAAATAAACCCTTGGGGAGACTTGAGGGTGTTAGCAGCTGATCAGAGAAAGGGAAGAGTGGAGGAGATTTTGCTGACATTGGTCACAACAGTTACAGAATTTCAGTCTAGTCTGACCCTCTGTGAGCACGGAGGATGTGCACGAGGTTGTAAACCTTATAGCTGATCCAAGGCGAGAGTAGTGTTGCTGCCTAGAAAGTAAAATCCTTCAGTTTCAGGGTTATTTACATCTGATTTGGGCCTACCCAGAGTGGCAGTTGCCATGTATCTGAGCAGAATTTTGAAAGCACCTAAATGCTGGAGGTTGTTATGGGTTCTTTGGAAGTGCTGGGATGATTGATTGGTAACGGGAAGGCTTCTGGAGACAGTGTTCCCGCTGCAGTATGCGAGCTGTGTTTGTGAGAGCATTTGAACTTTTCTACGCTCCCTTTAAATAAAGCTCACAGCCTGTGGTTATGCAGCAGATTAATAGTAACAGCTGTGGGCTAACACAGGATTAAAACTGTCTTAGAATATGAGAACATCAGTGATAAAATGCATCTGGTATGAAGTCTCCGAAGACTTATAGGATTGTATGTAAATAGCAAGTATGTTTCTATGGTGTTTATCTTCCGTTCTGCTTGTGACTGCTGGGCTCTTTTCAGAATTTTTGTTTCTGGGTGCCGTGAGGTTAATGACACTTTCAGAGAGGTGGTTATGCGAAGTTGTGCAAGATCTACACAGCCTTAAAACATTTTTACGGTGTGTTTTGTTGGCAAGATTTTATAACTGTGGAGAGTTTCGTGCTTTGCAGAGTGAAAAGAAGTAAGCTAGTTACACTCTGTGCTAGCGCAGCTCTGTTTCTGCATGGATTAATCTGTCTCACTATTTTTCCTGCAGGGATTTGAATATTTTAAAACATTTACTCCAGGCTGTAGTGTTTAGTTCAGGTTATTGAAATTGTGCCTGTGAAGAAAGGCACTGCTAAGAAACAATCAACCACAAACAGAAAATCACATACATGACAAATGGGTAAATAATATTAAAACACATAGGACAAAGATATTTTAATAGATCTGTCTACAAAGTAATAAGGTGATAAAAAATGAAAAATTACTTCTGTTCGTAGATGAAGACAACTTGTACTAAATAATTTTGTTATCTGTGACTAAGCATGCACAGAAGTCGTCAAGGCTTTATATTTTCTCATATGATTATGAAAGCTCTTGGGCTCATACAAGGTCTGTTGCAAGTCAAGAGCGTATTCTTTTACATAGTCTTCTAATCTGCTTCTTCCAAAAGAAGTCTGAAGCTTTTTTGTCTGTAGTGCCACTGTACAGATGCTAACCAGAACTATACAAAGTCTTCCAGTGTTACATACTCCTTTTATATTTGTAGAAGCTTGTTCTATCTAGATAGTGGAATGGAAGTTGGAAGCCTCAAAATCACCTGTGGTGACACAGATATTTTTAAGACTTGCTATGGAGTCAAGGAAATGCATTCAGTTGCTCTGTTTTTATAGATTTCATTGAATTAATTGTTCTAGGGTATGACCAAATTCCAACTTGTTTATACTGTTTTTCCATTCATTGCTATTCTTTGTAGTTATGAAAATAGGGAAATATAAAGATGTTCTATAGACAAGCATCATGTCTTCTGCAATGTGTGTAGCTTAAAAATTTAGCTTCCAATATATTCACTGTTTTTGAGATTTTAAATTCCACTTGTAAACCATATAATTGGGATACAGTTGGCTGATGACTAGCTAGAGGAATGTACATGGCTAAAATATTCCCTTTAATTGGGTTTTCGCATCTTATTTTTCCTCTTAAAATTTGTGGTTGGCATCTCTTTAACTAAAACATCTTTTGTGTTACAGACTATATAATAGATATTTTGTGTACTCATGATAATGTTTCTGAGATGCTCTTCCTAAACACAACCCTCTCCAAATTTAAAAAAAAAACAAAACAAAAAAACCCCAACTTTGACCTTTTTCTGTACTTTTAGAGGATTTGCTTTTCCAGTGTTTGCACAGGCAGGTCTTCTCCCTTGAAGTTATCCTGTGTTTGCTGTTAATCTCCTTTTAAGATTGGATTTAGTCATCTTGGTTCAGCATCATCATTTCCAGAAAAGCCAGTCACGCTGCGTGCTTAGAGTGAAGCTTTGAGAAACAGTTTCATGCTTGCATGCAAATACGTCCTAGTATAAAAAAAGAAGACAAAAGGGAAATTAAAAGCATGCACAAAATTGTTTTCAAGTTTATTGGGGAGGTTGCTGTTTGTGTTTCTGATGGGTGCTGACAACCCCGTTCTGGAGTCAGTTGTTGGGGTGCCCATTGCTCCATGGCAAGTGCAGCACCCCTCGTGAGGCTCTGATGTGGGCTGGGGCTGAGACCTGGCTTGTATTTGCTCTGCAGTCGTGCTAGTTCAAATGCAGTCATGGTTTAAACAGTGATATAAGTTGTGATATAATTAAATAGTGATATAATAGTGATACTGTTTCTGCTGTACACTGGCCAAGCGATTGGTGTAAGAGGTTAATTCTGGTTAGTATGCAGTGGGGTATTTTACTCTAGGGTGCATCTTACGTAAAGCGGTTGACTGAGAAAGTCTTAAGCAAAGCAGAAAGAAAGACCTTGCGGGAAAGCCATGATGACTCTCTTATGTAATGACTTTTTCTTCTTAAGTTCTTTCTGCTCCCCTTGATTTGTAAATCTCTTTAACCTGTGTCAAAAGTCAGCTCTGGCAAAGAGAGAGGGACTGAGCATAACAAGTCCAAGTGAAGGTGTGAGTTTGGTTTGGTTTCATTCTGCTTTCTGTATACTTTCTCCTGCTTTTACTTCTGGCCCTAGGAGCAAATGACAACAGAAGCCTCCCTCAACCAAAACTGATAGAGTTTTCAAATCATATTTCTGCAAGATTTGCTTATTACTTCCAGTTGAACGCAGACGCTTTGGGGTATGCTGAAGTGAAAGTTACATGGCAAGCAGAGTTTAATAGCTCGTATCCTGACAAGATTCCAGTTTTCGTGGTAATTAAGACTGGTTGCAGTCTGGCTGTAGTGGGGAAAAGCCCACAGCTGATGTAGATCCGGGATAGTCGACTAGCATTGTTACAGTATTATTCAGTGTAAGTCTTAAGATCTGTGTTTTTTAATCTCTGTTCCATTCCCTTTCTTTTCAAATAAAATCTGTGTATTACAGGCAAAAGCAGCAGATTAACAATTTACATCAGAAGATTAGAGAGAATGAGTTAAGAGCTCAACATGCAAGACTGAACCATCTTGTGAACTGCGAAGAACCTTACATGGCTAATTTGCAGGTAGGATGGATATTTTTCTTTTCGCAAAGCTTTCCATTGCCCAGTAGCTGACACCTGAAAGCAAATTCACAATTTATTGCAGGCCGAAATGTAGACCTTTTGTGATTAGTCATGGTTGTTAATTGAGTAGCTGTAAATTGCATAGAGAATACCCTCGAAGTGTTGTAGTTTACCTTACATTTGCAGAAATCTAAGTTACATGAACATGGTGTACATACTTGTTTTGAAATCTAATAAAAATGGAGTAAGAGTGAGGAATTGTGACGCTGTAAGAACAAGGGTTTGACAGCATGTAAGGAGCACAGTTATACAGGAAGATGGCAGGAGATAAAGTAGTTCACTAAGACAGTATCTGAAAACAACTGATGGAAGGTTTTCTGAAGAGGAGGAGGAGGCACTAACCAAAGGAGTGGTTAGATTGTATCAGTGGAATAGATGGAAGGTATGTGAGAAGGCAGACTGGTGGAATACCTGCGCGCAAGGCACCTGAAAAGGATATGGATTAGTACTCCTAGGGAACACTTAGTCAGAAAGGGAATGTGTGGTGGTATTTTAGGTATACCTGTCCTAGTTTTTATCTAACTAGCACAAATATCAGAAAGTGTAAGGAGGAGGTAGCACTGGCTGACTGTGAAATGCAGATCGGTTTGAGGACTGTTGCTGCTGCCCTGTTGTAGCACACAAATTCCATCTCCAGACCTCAGCATATCTAAAAGGCACTAAAAGGCAGTGCAGAAAGAGAGCGTTAAAGGTAGATACGCAGAGAAATAGCTTTTCTGTCCCCCTTTTATTACCTTTTCTTTTTCTGTCACCGACACTATACCGGGATCTCAGCTAGCATACTTCAGCACGATGTTAATTATGACCTTGGAATAACACTGTGCATCAGGTGAGAATCTGGTTGCTGTGAGACAGAAGGGAAATTCAGGTGGAGTTTTGGTGTGAAATCAGGTATTCAGAAACTTTTTCAGACATCTGGGAATGTGGCTTTTGGTGCTTCCAGAAGTTCTTTTATAAAATACTTACAAAATCTGTCTAAATTAAGATTTTTGAAAAAAAAATTATTGCAGAAACTGAAATTTTAGTGTACGTATTTTAGTATACCATAATACACTTCAAATAAAGCAGCAGATGCATTCATCTTCCATAATTTAAAGAGTTTTAAAAGTTTATCATATATTAAGACTTACGCTTTATCTGTGTGCCTTCTGTAAGATTAACTTACAAATGCAAATCGCTTTTAATGGAGGTTGTAATATCTTTTTAATGCTTTGCTGAAGGAATGTTACTAGTTAAAAATACTGTCTGTGTAATTTCTTTAAAGATATCAATTTGTTATTAAAATAATCTTGAAACTGAAAGCTGAATGGGATGCATCTACTTTTTCATCCCACATGCAGTTTATTTCCATTTTGGGCTTGTCTGTGGGCAGTGGAGGTAGAAGAGCAATACTGAACTGCATGAAATGGAGAGGGAGGAGGGTTTTGGTATACAGGACGGAAGGTAGGAGGGCCTGCCTTCTGATTGTAGCTGTAGTCTCAGGCTTGTCCCTGCACCATTCTGCACCTCAAGTGTGATAGCTCTAAGGTTTGACTAGTACTAATGTTCCACTTTAGAAGGATCTGGAGATTGGAGCATCTCTTACTTTAATATATTCATAGCCATTTTATACAATGTTTTTCTTTCTAAGGGATGGTATGACAATGCAGTGGCAGTGACTTGTTTTGAAAACACTTGTTTGGATTTTCAGGGGTTTCTTTTGGAAGAAAAATCACGCCTCTTCCATAAGTCTGAGGGGAAAGTGGCCCCACAAGGTTCATTTGCATGTGTTGTGAATGTAAACGTGTCCAGCTTCTTTATATTTTTTTCTCCAGATTCCTGAATTACGTGTTGTTACTGTGTATTTTAAAGTTCGAAAAATCAAACCCCACCCTTCCTGACAGTGTAAAAAAATGCAGGACTGTTTTTTGGCTGTGCTGCTCAAGTACATGGTGTTACATGTGCGCTCATTTGTATAATGATTTTATTTCTTTTTGTAAGCAACCACAGTATGAGAGCACACCACTGCAACCTGACATTTCGGAAAGATCAACATCCCACCTTGAGGAGCTTGAGCGAAAGGTTGCAGCAGCTGAAAATAAGGAATTACAACTCAGCGAATTTATAAAACAAATTTCAAACAAGTCTAGTGAGGAGAAAAAGAAGATGGAGGAGAAAGTAAGTGTCTTTCGTGTTCCAAATTTCCTTTTGACACCGTTACAGCAATGTGTGTTTTGTTTCTTAGGCAGCAACTGAGTATGTGGGTTGCTGAGCTATTTTCAAAAGGTAGCTAAACTGTCTGTGATAGAAAAATTGATAGTAAGTGTAGGTGTTGGCAATGGATAAATCTGAACTTGTAGTGAATACATCCTAAAAAGCGAAACTAGATGAAATGGCAATAATGACGATAGTTTTAACCAGGTAAACTTGCTTTGAAGAAAAGCTGCGTAGCTCTAAGAATTCACATAGCTTGAAGTGTTTATTACATTACTTTCTATGTTTTTACATGATACTTTATGTGATAAAGAGTGTGAAAATGAAATCCCTATTTTTAGCATGGCTTGTAAATTAAATGGGGGCCTCACACTTTGAGATGCGCTTACCAGCCTGTATGTGCCGAGTCAGCAGGAGTGATTCTCTTGTAGCTTTGCTAGGATGTGCAGAGTAGACTTTAATCTCAGACAAGGAAGGGGCTTAGGTGGATGTGTCCTTGGAACTGTCTTGACAAGGGGTTTCTTTGGAGGCTGAAGCAATACCCAGGGGTAGTTTTGAATATCTTGACAGCCTTCCTTTATTGCAAACAGGAATATGCCATTGACCAAATGATTCCTAATTAATGTTTTAGGGATGCATTATCACTGTTACCTTCTCTTCTTGATCACTGTACCTCAGTACTATGCTTAGATTTATATTAGTGTAGGTTCAAGTGGTAGGAGCAGTATGATACAGTGAAGTGGCAGGTGGAAAGATGAAGAAGAAAGCATAATTCATCTCAAATTCTGGATGGTCTGTAGCTAGGAGCCTGATTCACCCCTTAACACCTATCCGTTCTGTGCACTGAACAAAAGGCTCTCAAGGAGAGAAAGGGCAGGGAGGGGGAGCATGTGTTTCTATAATAAAATGAGTGCCTTTCTGTTTGAGGGAGGAGGGAGCTGTGCTGTGTTCCCACAGGGATGTGGCAGACTGGGAACCCAAGCAATAGGTTGAGCCTGGGGACAGCCATCCCTGGAGTTCCTCTGCTGTGCTCACAGGGCATTCAGCCCAGAGCCCAGAGATTTGGTGTCATGGTCAGTGACTGAAGTTAGGGAACAAGAATACAATTTCTATACTGATCAGAGGGATTGTTGCCAGTAGCTGTGCTAGGGTTATTTTCAAGCGAATGTCTGCCTCTTCGGACAGCATAAGTTTCTTCAGCCCAAAGCCAGATTTGGCCAGGAGTGAGGAAAACACTGGTAACGTTCAGGTGAGATTTGCTTGTAAGTGTGTGCTAAAAGAACACAATAGAAGTTTAGGTTAAGTTTGCTGGCATACATTTGTACTTCTGTCTGCCCCACTTTTGCAAATAATACTACCTTTTCCGACATTGGAGTTTTTAACATACAGCATTTCAGTACAGTGTACAGATGGTGTGTTTTTGACAATAGGGGACAAGCTGTGACCATTCGGTGTAGGCGGAAGGAAAGAAAACATGAGGAACGCTCCTGTTTCCTTGACCAGCTTTTGTCACTGGTGAGAAGTCTGGGAAAGTCTCCCTCATCACAAAAACAGGATGTATTGGAACTAGAAAAGGTTCAGAGATGGGCATCAAAGCAGATACCCATCAGAAAATCACCAGAGGAATGATTATGTCTTCACACTGGAGAAAAAGTGACTGAAGGGGAGCATGATGGAGTCTGCAGAGCCACAAGCAGCCTGGAAGGGACAGAAGGCAGTTCAACTCCTCACTGCAGCTCCCATTGCAGGAGGGAGGGAACATCTAGTGAAGGTCTAGGAGCGAAGTACTTGATCAGCAAAAGGTGCCAGTTCTCTACAGCAAACCTGTAGAGTGTCTCTCTGAAGGCTGTTGGGGATGCTAGGAGTATAGGTGGGCCCAAGGGAAAAAGAGGTGAGTTGATGGAAGTGCTGCCTTGTTCTGAATGCACAGAAATAAGTGCCTCAGGAGAGTCCCTAAAGTTAAAGCAGATGGAGGCTGGAAAAATGTGTTTTGCTTGTTCGTACCCTACCATAGACATCTGCTTATGGCTACTGTTGGAGGTGAGATATTGGGCTAGAAGGCTGCTTGGTCTGAAGCACTGTGGCCTTGATGTTTTTCGTCTGAGGAACTGCAGGACCAGCAGAGATCAGAGGTGCTCTTCGTTTGCAAGGGAGTGTTTTGTACCACCTCGTGAATAATTCTGGTGCCTGAAGAGAGGAAGGGGTTTTTCACCTAGGCTCCATGTGTAGTGAGTGGAGGACTGAGGTGATTGAGAGCTCTTTAATTTGCACTGAAATTTCAGAAGCCTGAAAAAGCTTCCCTGTCGTGGCTGGCCGGTAGTCATGGTAGTTCCTCACAGCTTTCTAGCTGAGGGAGCCTGCTAAGGTAGATACTGCAGTACACTCCAGCAGTGTCCATGTCACAAATGCTTAGGTTCTTACTTGTCCTTGTGCTAGGCATGAATGTGCCTCTTGGCATCTGCAAATTTTGCAGCCCTCGCTTTAATTCTGAGGCATTTCTTATGGCAGTTGGACTGCTGGGCTGGAAATGCTTCAGTTCAGATGCTCCTATCCTGCTGGCTGCTGCTTCTCCCTCTGCTGTGGGTAACTGTGAAGAACTCCTGTAAGGTACTGCTGATAGCTTGTAGTGTTCTCCTCTATGATTTCTGGGGCCTTGTTTTTAATATTTAATTCCCAGGAGGTGAGAGCTCTCCTATTTTTTCCTGCCCCAGCAAAGTCATCAGCAGTGTGTGTATGTAGGAGTGTCCTGGGTTCGGCCAGGACAGGGTTAATTTTCACCGGACTCCAGGAAGGGGCACAGCCAGGGGGGGTGGGGGCTGACCCCACCTGGCCAGACAGAGCCCGGTATTCCATACCCTGTGAAGTCACGCTGGGTTCCGGGGTGTTCATTCTCCTCCGCACGCCGGCGGGGGGAGGGGTGGCCGCGTGGCGCTTTTGTTACCGGTGGCAGCCGAAACCAAAACAAGGAGGAAATTAAAAAAACCTTGTTTTCCCCTCAGCAGAGTCAGCAAGAATGAATGAAGGAAAAAACACAATGTGTTTTTTCATCTCAGGTGACAGGAGGTAGAAAGAGTCCTCAAGGTGATGCTGGGGATTTAGAGAGGGCAGGAGGAATCCGAAGGCAAACATGGTAGCTATTAGAAGGAGAGAGGTTGCCGGAGAGGAAATTCCCTATGGTATATATGCAGGGCAAGAAGATTTGGAAACCATGTAATCTTTGTCACATAAGTACTGGAGTATTCTGACTGGTCAACTTGTCATCCTTAGTGATACGTGAGGAACAGAGGGAAGGGATTCACTTGACTAACGGTCAGACTCCTGGCAATTCTTACTGTGCAGCAGTGGCTTACGTGTACATGTTTATATCACTGCCTTAAAGCTTGGGGTGTGGGAGGAGTATGTGGTTCTGAAGCACGTATTGTGGCAGAAGATTATGGTGGAGTTTGCAACTTTGCATTACTGAATATGGAATTTACCTGGGCTTTGATCAGAAACATTTTAAAGGAGCGTCAAAGCTTTGCTCAGTTTTGAGGTCTTGATAAAATAAAAGATACAAAGATTTCCAGCCTTTTGGCAATCCTAAGTTTTGTGGCCTATATAGAAGGCTATCTCAGGAAAAGCTTTCAAGATACTACTGACTTAAACTTTTTAGTAGGCTCTGTTACTGAGCTCTGACATTGACAATGTCACACACTTATTTCTCGGTGAGATGGATGTCTCTAGCACTGAAACAAAAGTATGTTTAGTGTTTACGCCAGTGACAAGTATTTATTATCTGGGAATTACTACACCTTAGTTCAAGCAATTGTGATACCGTTTTTCATTAAATTGGAATATGACTGGAAAATACTTTTTCCTGCCTTCCCATTTTTTTGACCTAGGTAATAAAGCAGGAGTGCAAGAAAAGATAACACAATATAAAAGCATTTTGCAGGCTGGTGGACAATTAAGATGCCAGTAGAAAAGGTGTTTAAGAAAGCAACTATCTGTTCTGATGTAATTGTCAGACTGCATCAAAGTCCGGTTTTTGGCTCCAGTTCTTGTTGGGTCGCTGTGTTTTAAGTTGTTTTCCTAGACCAGAGCAAGAGGACGTTCTAAAATATTTCCTGATCATTTGTTGCATATGAACATCACCACTGGTGAAAAAATTGAGAATATTTTAACTGTTGAACTGCTCGTTTTCATTTCGCAAGGCACGCGGAATGTTCTGGGCAGCGGCAAAGCAACTGTGGTTTGAGGTTGTGTGTGGATCTACGACTTGGAGCTGCTGGGATTAATCATTCTTTGGTTTTGTGTTCTGCAGTAACCAACCCTTTCATGCAGCTGAGAGTACAGTTCTTGGAGAGTGACCAGCCTCTGCTTCCAACGCAGGTTTATTTTTCACTGTAATCATAAAACATGTACCCTTCCTTTCTTCTAGCTTAAAACTAGAGACCGATATATTAATAGCCTGAAAAAGAAATGCCAGAAAGAGTCTGAGCAAAACAAAGAAAAACAAAGACGAATTGAAACATTAGAAAAATATCTGGCTGACCTACCAACGCTGGATGATATAGAAGGGCAGACTAAACAGGTAAGGTGAAGGGAGTTTGGTTTACATTTTAAAAATACAAGTAAGCTCCCCAATACCTGTCATCAAATCTTTTAGTGTTTCAGCATGTATTTTTTTCCCCATCTGTTTAGGAAGAGAAGTATTTCAGTGTTTTAGAAAGCGCTATAGCTATTAGGGATTTGCATACTCAGATACGTAAATGGGCCTAAGATTGTACAGAAGGTTACTGCAAGGCTGTGGCCTGCCTCCAGCCCTGCTGCTAATGTGGGCTTGTGTCTGACTAATGTCACCTGTGTTAGCTGCAAATTCTAGAAGAGAAGAACAAGCAACTTCAAGAAATGGTGACTGAGTTAGAAAAGAAGCTCGAAGAGGCCCGATCACAGTGCTTGGAGAGAGAATTGCAGCTGGTGTGTCAGAAGAAAAAAGAAAAAGAGCTGGTCACAACAGTACAGAGGTATGAACAGCTGCTTGGGCTGTGCCCTGGAACGGGTATGCTTTGCTGCATGATGTCAAGACCTAACGTTAGTTGCACTCTTAATCTATTACAATGCTAATGATTTTTCATGGCCTAAGTGTATTACTGTGCAGAATAACAGTGTAATGCAATAGAAAATCCAACAAGATTTTTGTTTGTGTCAAGCCGTAAGTAGTACCACAGAGAAGAGTCTGCCTAGGACAGTCTTTACCGTCTTTCTTGAAAGATGCAGGACACTGCTGCAATGGCAGCATAGCTGGCTGCCGGATAGAGGATAGAATAAACATGTGCAGCAAAGGGGCATTGTGCTGTCAGCACTCCTGTTCGATAACTCGTCCTGACGTGAGCTGTGGAAAAGCTCCCTGGATATTTGCTGATGGGTATATCAGGGAAGGGTCAAATATTTAAATAAATTGTAGATGTTTCTTACCTTTTCACCGAGTGTGGGGGAGTTTACTCGGAGGTTTAGCCAGATATCCATGAGAAGATTCCAGATGAGACACATTGTTACTATGGTACCTTTTAGATGAGGGGAGCTACTTAAACGCTTATTTTTAAAGAAGGGGGAGGGGGGAAGCAGGGCAGAATAACTTTTAATAATTTATGGGGAAGTTACTGCAGTTCACTGTCCCTCCGTTTGAGTAAAGGTGCATGCCACAGGAGCCTGAAAGTGTTTCCATGATGAAAGGCAAGCTGGTTGGGACACCTTGCCAGCCAAATTGTTGACACATTGTTTCCATCTTACCAATGAAAGACCTTTTTTCTTCGTGCCCTCATAACCTAGAGGGAGATCATTTTGACTTTGCTGAAAGCCTACAAATAGTTGAGGTGGCCGCTGGTTTCTAAATTAGACAGCAAGATTAACACTAATAAAATGTGTTTCCTTTCTGAGAGAAGGTGAGCAGGCAAAGGCTCTAGCTACACCTAGAAGCTGGAGTTGAGCTGTAGGGCATCTGAAGGTTGTGCCCTCCTGCGGGAGCAGCTGGCAGGAGTGGCTGTATGTCCCCCCTTGCAAGTCAGAGAGGGCATGAAGGACAGGCCGCTAGTACTCGGTACAACCTCCGATTCTGGACTCTGCTTTGAGTTGTACGTGCCCCAGGGGGAGAGTCTGATTTTAAAGCTCCTGTAGCTCGTGGACGTTCAAAGACTCCTCTGATCTATGCTGATGCTGGCTTTGCCTCCCACAGTAGCAAAGAGCAGCTGTGAACACCACAAAGCTTTTCTTTGCTCCTCACTGCCCCCTCTGCCTGCGCCATACTGCTGGAGCTGTGCATTTTGGGAGACACAGCACAGAATCTGGCCCATAAAATCGTTCCTGCATGAACCTGTTCTTGTCAGTGCCACAGTAACTTCAGTAGTTTAGGATTTTTGCATCATTTGTCCACTGCTGGTTTGCTTGTTCATAAGGCTGGATTCTGCTAGGTACGGTTTTACAGTTCTGGTTGGAAGACAGTGCAGCTTTCTAATTTTTCGCTAGAACACACAGCCCCTCTGGCTTCTGTCAGTGCACTTAATTTTTCTCTCATGTTGAATGGCAGTTTACAACAGAAAGTAGAAAAATGCCTGGAAGATGGTATTCGCCTTCCCATGTTGGACACAAAACAGCTACAGAGCGAGAATGAATGTCTCAAAGAAAAGAATGAGAAAGCCAGTAAGGTTAGTCTGCAGATCATCTGTTGATGGCATCTTTAACCTTGAGTCCTGCATTTCTTTATTTTTTTTACTTCAGAAATGAATATCTCACTAAAGAATTACACATTTGTTGCTAATTCACATTTCTTTTCAATACCTGTCTGTTTCTGTTCAGTACGTTTATTTTGCACGGATTTCCTGTTCTATCAGAGTTAAACTCTCTGTCTTGTCATTTACATTTTCAGAGATTCCGTTTAAAATCTATGGCTACACACCTGTAAGCTGATTTTTAAAAAGGGATCTGAAGAGATTCAACCCTTTTAAATCACTCGCTTTTATATTCTAGGTCATAGACAATCAACAAAATCAGATAGCTGGACTGATTTTAGACATGCAGGTAAGGAGGAATGTATATTCTGTTGTTTAGTCTGTCTATTTTAGTTTATAAAGATAACATTACTAAAGTTGAATTTCATCTTTTTATCTTCCCAAATAGGAGGAAAAGGTAGAAACGCAAAGAACTTAATTTTATGGCCTGTAGTTGCTCTGTGTTTTGTTGCAGGCTCGTAATACATTCGTTATTGATGTTTGTGTGGTTTAGCACTTTGCTGTTACTCATCATAAAGTGAAAAACTGTTGCTATGTGGCATCCTTATTCTGCTGGTCTAGTGGATGTCATATCAGAACTGCCTGTTTCAGGTGTGAGCACTGCCTGTGTAAGCAACAGGGAAGCCTCCCATCCACCTTTGGGGTTCAGATGATCGTCTAAGGTAAATTAAGGGATGCTGATTAGGAGCCTCACTGCTGAGATCCTTATGAGACAAGTGCCTTTCTAAACCATACCACTTCACATTTCACATTGTTTAAGCAGATCCCTGTTCAACGGATTTCTGATGTGGCACTCACTTAAATACCTTAACTCTCTTGGCGGATCTTGGGCACCTAGCTTGGAGCCAAGGAGTTTTCAAGACAGCAGAGGTTGTCAGCTAGGAGTCAGTTGCAGCTCTGTGGATTGGATTAAGACATCAGGCTCCTGATACTTGGAAGTTACTTAGTGACCAGTGTTTGTTGTGGAGAAAAGGAAACATTATACAGGTTACAGGGAAAAAGGTATGACTTGTTCTAGAAAAAGCTGAGCATTTAAAAAAACAAACAAAACATCTGTTTTCAACGAATACTGAAACCAAATTCCATAAATTCTAGTTTCTGCGTTCTTCTTCTAGATTGGCATTTGTCTGCACATTTTTTGCTTCCTTGCCCTCCAGAGACACTGAAGTTACAGGGTTGTCCCTCGAGAGTGAGGAAGGTGCTTCTGCTTTGGCTCTGTGTATGTTAGGTTTGGAACAACAACAGAATGGTAGTAAACAATCAGCTGAATGTCTGCCCCTTACGAAGTGGAAGGCAGCACTCTGTGGAGCTAGAATCCGAATAATGTAGAGACACAAAACCGCTTGCATAACACTTGCTGAGAGAGTGTGCTTTCTTATTTCCACTTTGCACACTGGAGCCGTGTTTGCTTATTTATAACTGTTGAAAGTAAGTTGTCTTCCATCATTAAATTGCTTGCTTTCTCTGTCATGCAGGTAAAGAGCAGGCCTGATTCCTGTCGACAACCATATTTTTGCCTGTTTAAATTACACTGTATTAAATACATCTGTAGAGAAGAAGTAGTAGAATTTCAGTTGCAACATAGAATACATCTGTTAACTGAAAAGCAGATCAATTATTTAAGTTTCTCTAGATTTGAAGAAGACAAAATTATTAAAATAGGGAAGTTTTCATGGAGCAGCCTATTATACGCAAAAATTGTGACATAGGCAAATGTAGTTTCGGATATTTCATAATTAAACAAAAAAGTTCAAATTGAACTCCATAACCACCTGAGGTTCTCTGTCCCTCTTCATAGTTTAGTTAAGATTATTTCCATATATACTACATGTGTATGTTGTGCTTATAAGAAGTATGCACCACTTGCCTGAATGTATTGTCAGCAACCTAAATCTTTTCGTATTTCCTAAACTTTCTGATCTTTTCATCGCCTGTATCATGAGACTGGGGATCTTTGAGCACGTTTATACAGATGTCTGTTTTGCGTGCCTGGTCTGAAATGACTTTAGGGAGCTGAGACTGGGAAATGCTGAGTAGTTGTGACAGTCTGTGAATGGAGTAGTGTTCTATTTTCCAGGACTTTCTCTTACTTTTCCTCTTTTGAGGTATTTTATATAAGGTCAGAAAACAAGATTTGAAAATGGTGTTAGCCCTCAAATTACTTGTAGACTACAGCAGCTTCTTTGTATCCTTGATCTCCTTGGCCTTCCACATTTGTCCCTGGGAAGCACTGAAAATTAGTTCATTAGAAACTGAAATCCCGTATCAGCACGGAGATACAATTTATCTTCAGCTCAGAAGATCTCATTTCATTCCCTGTCTTCTGCCACATTGTGAACTTATGCTTGAGCCTGTATTTCGGTTCATTGTTTCTAACATGCAAGCTGAAATCAAAGAAATTCTGTTTCAGACAGCAGTGCATGAAACAGTAATAGTTTCTATTTGCTCGTAATCATAGTGGAATGATTTTGGTCTTCCTTGTATCATTCTCCTAAGTGTGAGGGATTAAAATTCTGGTTGGTCTTGACAAGATGTCATGCTGCATATATAGTACATCTTCAGAAAGAGAAAAACTAGGTGAGAGTGGCATTTAAGAAATCTGTATTTACATGATTAATTTAGATATCACAAAATTAACATTTTTTGGCACAAAAAAAAGACAGTAGAAGTAAGTCAGATTGCACGATGCCTGTGCTACCCAAAGTACATCTGTCGATTCTATCAATCACAATAAACCCAAACTCTGCCAGGCTGGGAGTAATGCCACCAAATTGTATCATTGGAAAGCATATGGAAAAATTAAGGGTGAAGTACAGAGGACTCATAGCACTATGAGCACTGGGAAATCATAGCAACATGGGCTCAGCCAGGCTGGTAAGCGCATGTGCTTTTTCTGAGCTTTAAGATTAGGGCAGCAAAGAGTGATAGATGTTAGGTGTATCTTTTGGAAATAAACACTGATTTCCACTTCTAGTAGTTCCCATTAAACGGTGCAACTCATGAGCTGAACGGACACATTATTTGGAATATTCTGGAATTTGTTTCTGGAGTAGTTTACACAGTCATATAAATTTAGTGGCAGATGTAGTTCTGAAAATATGCTGGGGAGGGTAATATTTCTGAACCTGTCTTCCCCACCACCTACCCACTCTCAGGAAGGCTGCATGGTCAAGCCTTTAATGTCTGGCATTGACACAAAGACGAAACGTGCAAGTGGTGATACTAATACATGTATCATTACTGGGGCTCTGGGTATCCCTGAACTTGCTCGTCATCGAAGACTATGAAAATTTGAAGATACTTGGAAGCTGGGAGGGTGTTTTGCACATCTGCGTTGTCCTATTCTCTTCATCCTTCCTCTGCTGCCACAGATGGAGCTAGAGGGACCTTCAGTTTGACCCAAGATGGCCATTTTTATCAGTAGACAATGTTTATAAAAAAACTGAAGACGAGAGTTCAACTCCGGTGTGAGTTCTGCTCATCTGCAATCACGACAAAGGAAATGCCTGAAGCAGAGCCGTTTCCTGCCCTCTCCCAGCCCCCGATGTTTCCTCAGGCGTGGGGCAGGGCCCTCGTTCTTCCTCCCCTTCCTCCTGCTGCAGTGTGGAGCTGTGCTTGCTCCTACAGCTTATCTTTAGGATGCACGTTACTTCAGCACTTCCTTTTGAGGGGCACGGTGTGGGTGAACTGAGAAGCAGGTCAAGTGTGTGAAAACAGTTTTAAAAACGAGTAGTCATTTCTGGGTTCTGCCTGCTGATCCTTATTGCTTACATGAAAATAAACTGTGGGGTTTTCTCAGTCCATATTAAGTGTGTAAATTTTAGCACCATTGTTTTCCAGTCTTGCAAAGGGTATGACGAAGTGCTGGCTTTTCTTGCTGCATGTGCAGCATTGAGCTGAATGTGTTGGGAGATGCTGTCAGGACTGCACACCTCCCGTGAGTGGCCAGGCCGTTAAACACTCCACTCGGTCTCGGCCGTGCCTTTCCTCTCGTTACTCCCTGTCTTCTTGTCAGCACTAATAATTCTTATAGCTGGCAAGTCAACTAAATGGCTTCTCGTCCACTCTGTAGGCCACGTACATGGTAAAGGGCATGCCTGCATGTAGACAGTCTCCTGTGTGCTACAGTCCTCAGTACTGGTAACCTGAAAGTTCTATTCTTCATACATCTTAGGAGCAACTTGCACAAGAGTGAATTTGGCTTGTTTTCCAAAGCTAAATTGTTTTCTTAAGACCCCAAAACCAACATAACATGACAGAATTTGCTGTGGTTCTGTCAAGTGGGGAGCTTGGGGTTTTTTTCTGTCTTGGAATAAGGTTGCAGAATCATAGTGCAGCAATATAAACGTATCTTTTACTAAAGAGTGGCATTGAACTTTCTATAGCGTTTTATTAAAGCTACCATACAGAATTCCCTGTGAGAGAGTTCTCTGCTTTGGAAGAAGAATCATTAGCATTCTTACTACGGAGATTCAAGAAAAAAAATTCTCCTGGGACAGTGTCATTCCATAAATTGAGGCCATCAGTTTGTGAAATGCAACTTCTCCTCCCCCCATCATGGTCTCTGGTTCTACTCTGTGAAAGGTTACAGTCAGAACTGTGCCAAGGCATGCATCGTTGTCACCAGTGCTCCAGCTGTATTTTGAGCATGATGGGATCAGATTTGCATCTTATAATTGAAATTGGGCAACAGGTTTTACATACTAACGTGCTGAGCTAGGGATGGGGAGGACACTTTATATGCAGTGCTAGCACAGCATTGGATTTGTGAGTAATGCCATTAATGACAAAAGAAGATTTTTTTTTTTTTTTAAATTCCTGAAAACTGGAAAGATCTCTCTGTTGTAAAGCATCAACAGTTTATTCATTGTTATTATTATTCAGAGACGATGGTTTGAGTATTCTGCTTTCTGAATTTTGCCAGATGACCTTGAAAGACATAGCTACAGATCTAAAAGCCAACTAGCGGAATAAATATGAGTGCTTTCAACAACAGACACCTGTGGTCATGTTGAATTCATCCCAAAATATCCGCCTTGGAAATATCTCGTGGTTTCTCAGTTTCAACTCTGTAGGTGGAAACTGGGGAATGGACAGAAGCAGATTCCACGTCACAGTGGTGGTTGGTTTGTTGCTGCTTTGTGACTGATCTGGAAGTCGGTCATGGACAGCTCCAGTACTTCAGTACAACGCATCCTAGAAACATACTGCTGTTCTTGTTACTGAAAACAGTAATTGTGGCATCTGTAAAAATGACCCTGTAAACTACAAGTTACTTCTTTGCTTGCAGTTGTTTTTTCAGCACAGTAGAGTTGTATACACTGTTCTGATTTATCTTGTGTGTGAATGGTTTTAAAGAGCTTGCTGTTCTGTATCAACCGTCAAATGCTTCCTTCTCAGCTGTGTAGAAGGTCAGGTGAATTCTGTGTTGTGAAAGGTTGTAGGAAGCCCTGCCGTAGTCTTTGTGGAAAATAGAAGCCCAAAATAATCTTCAGTTACAACTTGGAATTGCAGAAATGAAGCTTAGCTGTCATTAATCTGCTGCTTATTTCAAGTGAGATGATTTGGTTAGAATAAACAATACTGCATGGTTATTTTAGACTTCATGCATTCCATACTGGAGTAGCATTTTGCCTACATGTAGTCTTTTTGTTTCCAAACACATACTGCTTATTTAAATGGTTTCATTGATATTTGGAATGGCTGTGTTAGTATACAGAGAGCTGTCGGGGTCCAGTTGAATATTACCAGGTGAACTTGGTAGAAAATAAAAACCAAGGATTTAATATAGAAACAATAAATAACTGAAACTTAGAAATCTACTGAGAATGCGGTTTTTTTCAGTGCTAATATAAAATACTAAAATTTTAAATCATTACCTCTGTTTTCATTCAATTTAGTCTATGCAAGAGAAACTTTTGCAAGAAAAGCTGATGGTTCAGAAGATGACAAATGAGCTTGAAGAAAAAGAAAGGAATATAGAGCAGTTAAATAAAACTCTCTCTGAAGTAAGTAAAAACCCCCAAAACCCAACCCCTGACCACACCAGCTGGAAAGAACCTTATAGAATGATTACAAGATCTCATGGTAGGGCATTATGAGCTTCATTACATACTTGACTGTGCTGGCTGCCATGCAGGCACATAGTAGATATCATCCCTACCTCAGGAAGTGAGAGCTTCAGGGGTGAAGGCCGCTAAGCAATGGTAACATGAAATAGACAGCCATGTAAAAGCTGTCTATCAGCCATTCCTTAGAGGGGTACAGTAATACTGATTACACATCTGGAAATTCATTCTTCTTAATTATGTTGTTTGTGTTTGAAACGGGAAAATTTCTGCTACAGCGCATGCAACATACTAACTTACCACTTTTTCCTATTTACTTTTCACAAAGAACCAAAGACTGATGGAAGAGAATGCCTCCCTGAAGGAGCAGATGCGGCAGGTGGAACAGTCCAGGCAGCCTGTATCTGAGAAGATGCCTATAGCAGACCAGTTGTTCAAGGAAATGTCCCATTGCTTGTTTGACTTGAAAGCACTGTGCAGTATTCTTACCCAGAGAGCTCAGGGCAAGGAGCCTAACCTTTCCTTACTGCTGGGAATCAGATGTAAGTGATATTGTCATTCCAATACTTAACAGTGTTTTGACACAGAGGAGTAACAGTTGACCTAAGTGGTGCTCAAACTTGCCAGCTGGACAGACCAGTGTACCCCCTGCTATGCAACTGGAGCAGTTGTGTGTGACATGTACTGCTGGAGCTCTCTGGAAAAGCTGGGCTTTTAGTGCACCTGGGCTGCTAAATGCGTGTGACTGCCCAGGTCCTTGCCGAGTCAGGAAATAAGGTCGCTGGCTCTTCATATGGACCCAGTCGTGGGTATGTTCAACCCACTAGAAAAGAAAGGTGTGTGGCCACGTGTCCGTCCCTCCAGAGACACACTGCAGTCACCCCGAGGGTTAATGGATGCCTTTCAGTCAAATGTCTTCTGCCCTATAAACTCGTTATGAGGGAGGTGAGGCATAAGCAGGCCTGGTGTGGCAGCATCATGTGTTTTTGTTTTAAAGCCCTTGGGGTCAAGTGGTGGGAACATACATCTACTGTTTGAACAGGCGTATGTCTGGTTTGGGGGCAGGGGGCGAGGGTGTCTGCATGTACTAGATAAAGCCTAGTGCTAGGCAACTCCATCTCCAGTACTGTTAATGGCCTGTCTAGTCTTCAGCACTTACTAAGCCATTAAACTTAATCAGGCAATGAGAAGCACGCCCTAAAGCCAGTCAGACAAAACTTCAGCGTACTGGGTTTGTGTTAGGTCTTTGGTGCAAACGGAAGCGCATGTCTTTCAGAGAAGCACTAACGGGCTCAGAGCTGACTTCAGGTTCACAGGGTACCACATTTTATTGGCTTTTCATCACACTAACACGTGATTTATCTTGATGTAATCGAAGTGATCTACCCCTTGTTTCAAGGGGGACTGACTAGTTGTATTCACAGAGCGCAGTTGCTAGAGCTTTAACGTTGGGTGTTGTTTTTTGTAGCACTGAGCTGTTCAGCTGAAGAGAATGAAAATTACCACAGCACGGAAACCCTCTCGAAGAAGCTGTTGGACGTTTGTCAGTTACGAAAGGACGTTGATGAGCTGAGGACTATAATGTCAGACCGTTACGCTCAGGACATGGGGGACAACTGCATTACTCAATGACAGCATTTCATCTAGTAGCAAATGACTTATTAAATGCTACTGTGTCACAGGTCTTTGTGTTTCTATTAAGGAGCCATATTGTAAGACTGTAAATAGCACAGCACGTGCACCTCTCTGAGGCTTGTGTGTATTTAATCTCCGCAGTCGGGGGGGGGGGGGGGGGGGGGGATAGTGTGTCAACCGGGGAATGTTTTCTCCAAACTACTGAAAGTAGGAACAAGCTGTGAAGAATGATTCAGTTGGATACTCTGTTTCCTTCATTGGAGCTCATACCTGGTTTCTGGAATCCGAGCATCAAAACAGCCATGCTGCTACTGCTCTGTCTTTTTCTTCATCAAGGGTTTGTATGGCATTATCTGTATTGTGAAATTAGAGCAGAGGATCGAAGGACCTATAGCTTGTGTGTGGTGCAGCCAGAGGCTTCCGCAACTGCACTTCACTCTAGGAATTGCAATTGGAACAATCTTCGAGCACTACAAAAAGTAGCTGCTCTTCAAGTTGTCTAAAAAATTTGGTATAGGAAAGATTTTGGTTTTAGTAATGGATGTCTAGCTTGTTTGCCCAATAGCGGAAGACAGCCAGGTTTCAACTCCTTTATGCAGATAAAGTCCATAAAATGTAGCGCTATCAAATTACTTTAAGCGCTCCCACGTTGCTGTAAGAAGTTTCAATAATGTGAATCAGTCTGTGACAAACCCAGAGAAGCTGGAAGGCATGAAACTGCGGCATAGGACATGGCTGTCAGGGAAGGAAAGAAAAAAAAAAGCCTGTGTTTTAGTGTTTGTACCATGCTTATTTTTCCCTTAAGTCATCTCCATTTTAAAATGTGGTTGGTCTGCGTTCCATCCCTGAAGGCCTCTGATGAGGTTGTGAACCACCACAACTGTTTTTTACCACAGCTACAAAACGAGTGTTTGGCACTTGGCAAAATCAGGGCTCAGAACAGAATGTTTCCACTTAGCAGTATTAAGTACTCGGTTATCTGAGGACTGCAAAATTTCCCACATTGTTTGGGAATTCTTGATTTCTCCATTTTTGTAGGAAGCAGTTACATTTAAAAAATATGATCATGTTCCATAGTTTATTCAGCGAGTGTCACTTGGCAGTGCCGTTTCACTCCCATGGGAAGGATGATATAGTAACGCTTCTAATTTCCTGGAACATTACTGCAAGTCAGCTGCACGGTTATACGTGGTGTAAAATAGTATTTAACTGAAGGAAGCAGAAACTTGCAAAGAGCAAAACCACTCTCAAATCACCCTATTCAGAAAATACGTGAGCATCAGTTACATATGTGGAATTAACGTTACGAATGACTAAGGTGCAAGTCAATCGACTGACCCATAGTGTGGAGAACAGCAGCAATCTCTCAGAAGGCTTGGCAGTTAGAACCAGGTAAATTCTAGGGTAACGTTTTTATGGCAAAAGTGTTAGTGTCTTCAGTTTTCTGATTATATTTATGTTAATGGGAAAAAAAATGGCATAGCAAGGTAGACTGGTTACTGGTTTTAACTTGGTGATGTTTTGCTTTCTGTTCATAGTTAAACAGTTACCATTAATGTTGTTTTCATAATTTAGTGGTTTATTTTTTTATTTTTAGCAGTATGGACTTATTTATTTGACAGTTTTCTCTATGCTGAACCTACATATGGACTAATTTGTGAAAAATAGTGTTACTCTTCATATTATTGCTACATGGTGTTTTCAGATAGATGAATCTGGTTTGGCTCCTGTGAGCACTAAAACAGTGTCTGGATGACATCTCAGGTGAAATTGCCTAGTATCTCTACTTCAAGATAAAAAACAAAGCCATTGTATTTTAAATTTCTGTGCTCTTTCTGTATGTTTGAAGGTGTACTTTTATACTAGTGCAAAACTGAAAACAAGGATCTTTGCACAAATGGGCTGGCGCAGTTTCCTGTGCCCCGAACAGTATTGGCTTTGGTGACTGGGGCCTCAGCTCGTTCCTTTGGTGTAGTTCCTTGGGTTTGGCCCTGCAGTGACGTCATAGTCTCCAGTTTGTGACATCGGTCTCATAGCAGAATTCAACAATAGCATTTCAAGCAATAAACTAGAAATAGTAGAGAGAGGGGAAACACCTAAGTTGCATGCTAGTATTTCCTGAGATGGTAACGTCGTACCTATAAAAACTACCAAGCAACACGTTTTTCTAAATTTGGTGGAAATAACAAGGAGTTTAATAGAGCAAGTGGGGAGGAGCAGGAGATCTTTTGAGTTACTATGAACTACTAAGCTGGTCACTTGGCTGATGTACCTCCACTGTCCCTTCTGTTAAATGGTGATACTGTACTGTGGAGTTGAGATAGTAATTTATATTTGCAAAGCACTTCAGGAGCTTTTATGCTCTTCAAGTATTGGTTGGAAGTACCTCAGGAAGGAGGTCCCATTTTATTTGTAATACTTGGATTGCAATGCTGTAATCTTGCATTGTAATATTTTTATTACAGAACTTGTAATGTTTATGTTGACTTTAAAGCACTTGATTTTAAAAACCCCTGAGTTTATCTGCCTCAGTCAAATTAAAGTAGGGAGGTAAATGATGGATGTATGAGCCAAAGATGCGGACTACCAGTTGACTGTCTACAGTGATAGAGTATTCTGCTTTCTTTTCCTGAAACTTGGCCTGTTGTAGCAGTAGCAATTACTGTATATGCATCAGTTTAGGGATGCCTCTAAATGGAATAAGCTTTGTCTAAGATATGCATGGTTGTTTAATTGGTTAAAATGTAGTGTGTGTGGTCTCATTCAGCATATTTAATACAGAGTTGATTAATGAATGTTAACATTGGAATTGCTTAGATTTAGTCATGACAACTTTTTGCTGTAGCTATTAGACAATCTCAAGGGCTGAAAAAAACTGCTCATGAATGGTTACTGTACCGTTCTGGCTGTCAGCAAGTTTGTACGGTAATTTTTATGTATAATTTCAGATGGAATTTATACAATCCTTTAGAAGATATTTACAGTAACTACTGTATTCAAGAATGTATTTTGAGAAAGATTTGGGAAGCAACTGTCTTCGGACAAGTTATAGGTGATGCTATGTATTTACTATATAGAAGTACTGCAGCTCCAATGTGTAAATGTGATTTAGGTTGCTAGCCTCTGCCGCGCAGCTTTGTAGTGTGATAGTTGTGTGAAATTGTGGAGATTGCTGTAACCACCCACTCAGGCTCCGACATTCAAAACTGCCGGTGGCCGTGAAGTCATGACAAGAGCTGAAACTTCGTCCTCTCACTTCAAAAGGTTTCCTTCCTTCCCTCGCCCTCACTGCCCACCTTCTGTTCAAGCTTTTTGTGGACATTTTTCTGTCAGGGTTAAGAGCACAAGGAGAGAAAGAAAGCAACCCTCTTCCTGCATGACCTCCTGCCTTAGCAAAGGCAGTGACGACATGCCACCGTCTTTCCGCATGGGCATGACTGGAGGCTCCAGTTTTCCTTGCCCTTCTCCGTGGTGTTACGCGGGTGGAACGGGAGGTGTAGTTGGCTCTTGTCATTGATGCGACGAGGTCTGTCGTGAGTGGGGAAAAGATCTTCTGAACTAATCTGCGTTCTTAGACTGCAAACAAATCAATGGTTATTGTCGAAAGGGATGGTTTTTTCCGGTAGCTCATTAGCAATATTAATTCCACAGCTGCATACCTTTGTGCCTTTTTTGCCTGAAGTAAGCGTGTATTCCCCTTGAACTTTAGAGAAGTTATTAGGATGCTGCTGACTGCACCTTGTTTTCCTCTCACCTGCCGATACTTTGCTCATAAGCTTTCGTAGTAAGAACTCTCGTGTAATGTCTAGAAACAAAAGTACTTAAACTTAGGTACCAGGTGTATACATTGCATGTTAGGCTGGTCGTAGTATGCAGCTTTTTTGAATATGAAGCCTGAGCAGGAAACTCAATCATGATGTGTTTATTTTATGTATATTAATTACAGTATATCATCAGTTCAGTGGGGAGGAGTGTCTGGAGCTATCTTTTAAAAGCACAGCTGACATACGTACTGGATCAGTCCCTGAAGACTGCTAGTTTTGTAAATTGGGTTCAATTTTTGAACC